GATGTGGAATATCGAAGCTTCCTACACAAAATGCATTTACACTACCCTCCAGTTTTTCCTATCCATGTTCAATATGTCTCAGATCGCGTATACAAATACAAAGCTAATGTTACTATACATACTACTGGGGAGTTATTGTCAAAGTCTCTTGATGAGTTTTTTAAGTTAAGTTGTAGAGGCTATGAGTTCAACTCATGGTGTGCATTTAGACCTAAAAGAGAAACAGACACGCTTCCTTATAAGTATGACTTTACGTATAATGACAAACCTATACAGAAAATCGATACGTTTGAAAAATTAGGGATCAAAGTATGTACAAGACTATTTCATTACTGGAGAAGAAATTAAAGTGCATAAATATTAATGACTTACACTTTATATTATTAGGAAGGTGATTGGATCAAAGTAATTAAAAGTACATGTAATGTATATTTATTATTATATGCTATAGTATTACAGTATCATAGAGACTATAATAATATTCGATTGTATGTATGGTTATTAAGAAGACTTAAAACTTTATCTTTTATAAGTGATAGTTAGGACTTTTTTTTTTTGTCAGGATATGGATGAACCATACGTACTATCTTTTGTATTATAACTTATTTATTAACTGTATATAAATTACCCATTTACTATGTGCTTAGTAAATGATACCAGATCACAGATCGTATCAAAACCGCCGGTACATGAGTTAGAAACACAAGTTATGGCGGAACCAATTATAGCAAAGTCTTCAACTGGTCAAATATACGTGAAAACTTCTAATAGAAATATAACTCTACAAGTATCTGGAAGTGATACTATTTATGCCCTTAAAGAAATGATTCAAAATAAAGAATTCTGTTTGCCTGTTCAACAACGTCTCACTTATGCTGGCAAGCTTTTAAATGATGAGTGTCTCATAGCAGATTACTGTATAAAAAAAGGATCTATATTAAATCTATCCGTAATTCCAAAAAGCTTAATATCCATAACAATGCCAACAGGAAAACCCTTAAATTTAGAAGTGTGTTATGATGTCACTGTTAATGCCCTCAAGAAAATAATCCAGGATAAAGAAGGTATTCCTGATAATAAGTTCTATTTGACTTTTTATCTTAAATCTCAACAAGTTTACCTGGATGATGAAAATGAAGAAAGTTTATTAAATTACAAGATTGATTTAAATTTTTATTCTCCTTTAATCCCAATCTATGTGAACATTTTTAAGAGAAAATCAATAACATTAAATGTATTCAAGAATGATACTGTTTCTGATCTAAAAAAAATGATTCAGGATAAAGAGGGGATCAATTCTGATCATCAATTTCTTATTTTTCGTGAAAAGGAATTATCAAATATTCGCAGATTGGAAAGGTACGGTGTCATGAAACATTCTATAATACATCTTGTACTTAAGGATAAAGCGCTTAGAAAAAACAGTGAATCAAAGTTTTTGGCTGGTCAAATTTATGTAGAAATGCAAACTCAAGAAAAAATAATTCTAGATGTATCTGAGAATAGCACTATCAATGTCATTAGAAAAATGATTAATGATAAAGTATCTATTGATTCTCATAAGTACATTCTTGTTTTTGCCGGAACGGTATTGGAAGATGATTATACATTGGATGATTACAATATTAAGCCTGAGTCTGTATTGGATTT